GCGGGCCGGGCGGGACAGGCCGCCCTGGGCAACAGGTAGCGGCCGGAGCTGGGGACGCGGGGACGCGGGGCCGTGGCCCAGGCCCCGAGCCACGGGCGCCTCTTCGTGGGGGGAGTAGCAAGGCTTGGTGACCGTCCGCGCGAGAGGCCCCGGCCGGACAGGGGCCCGCGGCGCTGCCCTTGGCCTGGACGGGGCCATGGCCACAGTGGGAGGGGACAGAGGGTCTTGCTGCTTTTTCTTCTCCCCGGCGTACTGTGCCCACTCCGGGAGGGAGGTCAGAGCGTCCATGTGCTTAACGGGAAACAGGAAGGAGTGGCTCTGAGAGTCTGCCCCGGCCCCCCAAGGGTAAGGCTCCCAAACCGTTATGGGGTGTGTGTGTGTAGCGGGGGAGCCTGGTGAAACTGGTTTCCTCTGCCACAGCTTGCGAATCACGGGCCCGTAGGCTCTCTAGCAAGTAGTTAATTGCAGGTGTGTGGCAGGAATCTTTGGCCTGAGCTTGGGGGTTTCTCTTTCACCCCAAGCCAGGCTTCTGGCGTCCAGACCTGGTCTCAGCCACCCGAGTGTCCAGGCCCAGCATTGGGGCGGGGTTCTGAGTTGTGGATCCTGAGTTGTGGAGCGAGACCCTCTTGCCAGAAAATCAATCAAGGATAGCATCCAGCAGGCAGTCACTCCCACATCTGTTAGGTCACTGTCCCATACTGCAGTCCAGGTGACTGGGCCTGAGTGTGGGTGGCTGACTGCACTTGCGTTGGGGCTCCCGGGGGTAAGGACTTGTCAGCAGCCTCATCCCTCAGGGCTGGCCCTAATCATACAGTGACCTAAACAGACGCTGTTCTAAAGAGAGTCCCTTGTGTCCCTTGGTGCCCCACAGTCCACTCCCTTCACCGGGGCCTCTGGCCAGCTTTCCCCTGGGAGGAAAGGCCTTCTCTTTCCCCTGTCACTGGCCAGAGGCTGGCTGATCCTTTACTGTGCCCTTCAGCCCTGTACCCCGCAACCCCCTCTTCAACCTGCCAGCCTCTGCTTACTCCTGGGTGCTGTAGGCTCATGCAGTGTTGGGTGTGTTGGGGCCTCTGATGGGGCTGCCCAGACAAGCTAGTTTTGGGGCCCATCCTGCAGCCTGGAGCAGTGAGTGACACCTCTTCTTGGCTTCGTCCATTTGCTTGCAGCCTTCCAGTTCATGACCTCTTGCTGTTGCTGCCTGTAAAGTTTTCAACAAGGAAGACTATTCAGGTCGCCTGCCACTTCTTTTTTTGTAGTTCCTCAGGCTACAGTGGCACCCGGGAGCCCGTGAGACCCTCTGTCACTCTCTCCTCCCTTGCCGATTCTGTTTTATTTTCCTCAGTTTTTCCTCCAAGCTCTAAGAGCCAGTGGGACTGTTATCAGGAGTCTGTGAGATCCCTTTCTGACAGACTCAGACTTCTGCCCTCCCTGCCTTCTGGGTCTACAATCTCCCATGGAGACCCTCTGCCCCTTTTCATGCATCTGTGAGGGTCTGGGAGGGGTCAGTCAGAGTTGGGGTAAAGGGTGTGGACCAGGCTGAGCCAGCTCAAGTTCGTGGTAATCCAATGCCCACGAAATCCCTGCTCCGCTGGCCGTGCTCCAGCCTGTGCCTCGGAAAGCGGAAAGCGGTGCCTGTGTCTCTGAGGCAGGTGTGTGTGTGTGTGTGTGTGTGTGTGTGTGACAGAATCTGAGAGATGCACACACACCTCGCCCCGCCATTGTCTCTTTTGGGGGGGGGGCGGAGTAAATTCTGTGATTGGAAAAATATCTGTAGGTGTGATTTTTCTCTACCAGAAAAGCAAGAAACTGCCCTGAGGGCCGAGGGGGCCTGGAGAAGCAGGTCGGCTCCCTGTCGCCAGTCACAGCCTTTTGTTCGCAGAGCCCTCGGTGTGCGGTGCCAAGCAGCCACCATGGCCCCTGGGCGGTTGTTGGTTCTATGGGCTGTGTGAGCCATCGGCTGGGAGCCCGGTGTCTTCCCTTCCCCCACGTTGACTCGAGTCCCGACCTGCTGAATCTGGTGACCCTCCCCGCTGGGCCAGGGGGCGGGGACTGGGACTGGGTAGCGCTCCTGTGCTAATGGAAGGCCTGGGCAGCAAGGGAAGGCTGTGGTCACAGAAAGCCTGAGACCCAGGTGCGAGAGAGCCCCCGTTAATCTGGCCGCCTGACACACCCCGCTGTGTCCTCACAGCTCGCACCCCCCTCCCGCTCTCCCCGTCCTGGGTTCAGGGAGTCGCACTATCCAGGCTCGCCCTGGATGCCTCTGCCTCCCTCCCCAGCTCCTCGCCTTCTTTGTGGGAGCAAAGACTGGCGTCAGGCACTCCTGGGCCCAGGAGTCGGGGCGGGGGTCTCCGCCTGCCCCTCCGGGATCCCAGCCAGCCCTCTGAACCCTTAATCCTCAAAAGATCCCCGTTAGGAGAAACGTCCCGCCGGTTTCTACTGACCAGGGGTGGGATGGGCCCAGCGTCCGAGGCCTGTCTGTGCCCTTGGCCTTAGATCTCACCAGAGGGCTAGTTGGGTTCCAAGAGCCATAGCCCTCAGGTGACTGGGTCAGGTATATGCCCACCTCCCATCCAGCTAAGCGAAAAGGTGGGCAGGGAAAGCCAGAGGGACTGCCACCTGTGGTCCAACCTGTTCCTTGTCTACTGCATTTTCTACCACTTTCTGTAGGAAAAGTGTGTGTGTGCACACACATGTGCGCTTGTGTGGGGAAAGTTCCACTGTGCATCATTGTTTAATTTTGTTCACTTCAAAAGACTTCCATCTCTTTAACTGATTAAATATTTATTCTGGCGAAGGTAGAAGGGGAAGGGGCAATGCCCTCCTGAGCCGAGGCCCGGAATGCGCGTGGGTGGGGGAATGGGGGCTTGGGGGAAGGTAGAGCTAAAGCTCCTTTGTCAGTGCTGACCTCTGATTTCATCCAAGAGAGCAGTGACCAGGAGTGGGGACAAGAGGGTAAAGTCCTTGAGCTGGAATACTGACCCGTGACAGGCTGAGAGGGATTTCGCAAGTGCTTCTGTGCTGGGTGGGGGCGGAGCTGTGGGAGGAGGGGCCGAGGACCAGCCCGGCCCAGTTCAGCTGCGGGCTATCTGATCAGCCTCGTGCCAGGGCCACCCACTGGTCTCCAGCGCACAACAGAGGACAATCTCCCCACTCTCTCCTCCCTGGTGACAGAGGCGGGGCACGACCACCTGCCTTTTGTGTCAGCTCTTAGTTCCACGGCCAGCCTGAAGACCATCAGCTCGCCTCCCTCCTGGGAGGATGCAGGAGTGGGGAGCCTGCGAAGCCCTGCCCTGTCATCTGCTGCATTCACTGATGGGTCCCAGGACTGCCAGGTGGTGTGCTGGTTCCAGTGCCACCGACTCTTCAGGCGCATCTTACTGCTCTCAGCTCCAAGCAGCTGCTGTCCCCTCATGAGCCACAGACCATTCCCTCCCTCATTCGGGCATCCAAGTGGTCACTACCCCTCTGTGGATCCTTTCTGTTCAGTGGAGGAAGGGGGGACGGGCGGGGAAAGCAGCTGAGCTGGGGGTATTTGTGACAGGTGTTCCCCTGCAGACTAGGATTTGATTTTCTGGATGAGCCTTCGAGATAGCCCTTACTTCCACCAGGTGTCTCGGTCTGCTGTCTCGGTCTGCTGTCCCCCAACCCCCATCAGCAGCCTTGCCTCATTTTGGTGCCTTAGGGCTCTCTTGCCCTGTGTGCAGTATTAGGTGGCTTGGCATGGATGTTCACCTTGTGTGCAAAAGTTTGCTGTCTGCCGATTGTCCTAGAGCTCAGCTTCATTTGGGGACATAATTTTGCTTTACTCTGGCTTCTTCATTTTCCCTAGGGTGCCTGCTGCCTAGATGGGCTGTCGGGGGAAGTGGAGGGGTTTGCTCAGCCCTGCAGTCTGCTTTTGAGCTTCCTGGGCTGAGAAGTTTGCCTAGTTGCTTGGCTAGGGGACTAGTGGCCGGAAAGTCATCGGGAAGGGAGGGTGCCTCTGACCTTACTCAGGTTGTTGGCTACAGCTTTTTGGGCCAGACCGTGCTGGATAGCGAAATGACAGGAGACTTGAGGTTCTTAATGCTAGGGAATCAGGACTTCGGGGGGCGCGAGCATCCCATTCAGTTGCAGTAAATAGCAAATGTCAGAACTGGAAAACCACCATATTACAGATGAGGAAACTGCTGCGTCCAAGGCCACATGACCAGGACCTGAGCCCGGGGCTGAGTCTCTGCCATCTGCTCCTTTTGTTGCTTGTGAAAACTGTCGTCTGTCTCGCTGTCCCCTTTGATGCCCTCTCCCTTTCCCCCCGCCCCCACTCAGGATGCTCCAGACCTTGTACGACTACTTCTGGTGGGAACGGCTGTGGCTGCCTGTGAACTTAACCTGGGCTGATCTAGAAGACCGAGATGGACGTGTCTACGCCAAAGCCTCAGACCTCTATATCACACTACCCCTGGCCCTGCTCTTCCTCATCATTCGATACTTCTTTGAGCTGTGAGCATACCATCCTACCTCCATGCCTTCCCTGGTGGCCAGCCCCAGTTTCTTGCACTTCAAGTGTCTCTTCCCGTTTAATTGGTCTTGGACCCTGGTGTTCTGGCCACCCAGGTCCCTGCCTACTATGTGTCCCCCCACTGAAGGCAGCATTGTCTTCCTGAGGACCCAGCACCCCCAGGCCCTTTCCGTCAATGGTTATTTGTTCTCACCCTCCTCCCCGCCTGGTCACTCGTGAACACAGGCAGCTTTGTCAGCTGTGGGCAGCCCAAGGAGGCCGGAGAGAGGGTTGCCGGGAAACTGAGGCCCTCCGAGGGACTGAGGTGGTTCAGGAGAGCCAGACGCCTCTCACTCATGTCCCTTCCCCAGTTATGTGGCCACACCACTGGCTGCCCTCCTGAACGTGAAGGAGAAAACTCGACTGCGGGCAGCCCCCAACCCCACCCTGGAGCATTTCTACCTGACCAGCGGCAAGCATCCCAAACAGGTACCGCTGCAGGCTGGCTCAGGAGCGGGGAAGGGGAGACCTGGGTCGGGATGCCGCTCCGGTGGCTAAGTCGAGGAGGCAGTGGTGCTGACGTGGGCCATTCCCGGGGAGGGCGGGCGGGCGCCGCCGAGTTCTGGGCGAGCTGTGACGGGCCCCGTCGCTGCACACAGGCCGAGGTGGAGCTGCTGTCCAGGCAGAGCGGGCTCTCCGGCCGCCAGGTGGAGCGCTGGTTCCGCCGCCGCCGCAACCAGGACCGGCCCAGTCTCCTCAAGAAGTTCCGAGAAGCCAGGTGGGGAGGCCAAGGCACGAGAAGCTGGGGGCAGAGGGAGGTTTGGGGTGCCGTGCTGGGAGTGGGGGGGCAGTGGCTGTGCGCAGGGTGAGATCTCATTCAAGAGGGAGGAATTGGGATCGTCCTGATGTTCCCAAGGGGTCTGGTTCTTGGGGCGGTTGGAGGGCTGCTCCCGTCCCCCCCATTCTCCTGGCCACTTCCGCTTCCTCTTCCAGCTGGAGATTCACATTTTACCTGATTGCTTTCATCGCCGGCATGGCTGTCATTGTGGATGTGAGTGGGGATTACAGGGAGGCGGGAGGTGGTTCTCTGGCAAGGCGGGGGAGGCCATAGAATTTGGGCTCCTCTTTTAACCTGTCACCATCTCTCTGCAGAAACCCTGGTTCTATGACCTGAGGAAGGTTTGGGAGGGCTATCCCATACAGGTAGGATGGGGTCCTGACTTCCTTCCATGGGGGTGACTAATGGAATCGATGTAGGACAGGACTAGGACACACACCCCTTGTGAAGAGAGGACCCTGGGAATACGTGGCAGAAGGGACGGGTGTCGTGGCGTTGAACCACCTCAGCGGCCAGATGGGCTGGGCTTGGAGAGGCGAGACCCTTGGGTCCAGTCGCTCCGGCCTCTTATGTCCTGCGCCCCCGTTGCAGAGCATGATCCCCTCCCAGTACTGGTACTACATGATCGAACTTTCTTTCTACTGGTCCCTGCTCTTCAGCATCGCCTCTGATGTCAAGCGAAAGGTGGGTCAAGGGCCTGTGCCATTAAGCCCAGAAGCCCAAATAGAGTTCTGTGAACAGCCTCCCTCTGATTTTGTGACGCTTTGGATGGAACCGTGGGACATGGGGAACAGAAGGCCTGGGGGAGGAAGAAGGAGTAGCAGGGGCTGGGGACAGGAAGAAGTCCTGGAGCCTACGTCTTTGCTGCAGGACTTCAAGGAACAGATCATCCACCACGTGGCCACCATCATCCTCATCAGCTTCTCCTGGTTCGCCAACTACATCCGGGCAGGGACTCTCATCATGGCGCTGCATGACTCTTCCGACTACCTGCTAGAGGTCAGGCTTTCTGGGCATTTCTTCAGACCCGGAGCCCCTGGTACAGGTTCTCCTGTCTCTCTGTCCTTCTCTGAGGGGTGGGGCGGGGCGGGGTGGGGCGTGTGACGTTCCTGGGACCGGGCACAGGGCGTGTGGTAGCGGGTGTATGTCTGAGCGTGCAGACGGGGGCTGTCTGTGCAGTCAGCCAAGATGTTTAACTACGCGGGATGGAAAAACACCTGCAACAACATCTTCATCGTCTTCGCCGTCGTCTTCATCATCACCCGACTGGTCATCCTGCCCTTCTGGTGAGTGGGCGGCCAGACTGTGCTCCTCTCCTCGTGAAATCAGGAGTCCTGCCTCCTCCCCAGCCCCTTCCTTTCCGTACTGACAATCCTGTCCCTCCCTTCCGGGCCCCAGGATCCTGCACTGCACCGTGGTGTACCCACTGGAGCTCTACCCCGCCTTCTTCGGCTATTACTTCTTCAATTCCATGATGGGAGTGCTGCAGGCGCTGCACATCTTCTGGGCCTACCTCATCTTGCGCATGGCCCACAAGTTCATAACTGGAAAGGTGAGGGTGCTGTCCCTGTTACGTGGGCCTGGCTGGCCCTCAACTCTAGACTGCCCACACCGCCCGCCACCGGCAAGCAACCCTCCCTCTAAACCTTGGGGCCCTGGGCGTGACTGGAACAAGCCCGTGCAGAGGCCGCCCTTAGGGCTCCTGTGGACATCGAATAACCCTTCATCTCAACCCTTCTCGCTTTCCACAGCAGGTAGAGGACGAACGCAGTGACCGGGAAGAAACAGAGAGCTCCGAGGGGGAGGAGCCTGCGGCTGGGGGTGGAGCAAAGAGCCGGCCCCTAGCCAATGGCCACCCCATCCTCAACAACCACCATCCTAAGAATGACTGAGCATTGTCCCTGCGCTCCGCTCAGATTAATGCGTAAAGCCAAGGAACTACCCCACCCTCCCCACAGGGTCACTAAGCTCTGGAGAGAAAGGAAGAGAGCCAGAGGAGAGTTCTCCTCTGCGCCCCCATCCTCCCCGCTTGTCACCCAGTTGCCTTTCAACCAAACCCTAACCAGCCTGCCCCCTGGTCTCTACCTGGGGAGCCTGGTTACACCCTTTGTTAGAAGGGGGATGGTCTCATTTTCCGAGTTGTCCTTTCCATCGCTTTCAAGCCCCCTCCTCAGCTCTGGGCACGGGGTTCACAACTCACATTCCTCACACTTCGGAATCTGGCCGTTTGCCTTTGACTCCCTGACCTCCAGAGCCAGGGTTGTGCCTTACTGTTCCACCTGTGGGCCTCTTTCTGCCAAAGCTGGACCAAGGCTCACCTTTCCAAGCTCCCTAACTTGGACCAGAAACCAAAGTTTTCCCTCCTAAGATGCAAGTGAATTGAGTGCAGGAAGGGGCACATGACCCTTGCCCTGCCTCTGCCAAAAACGGGGGTGGGGGGCACCACACTGGGGACTGCGTGGACAGTCTGTGTTACTTCTCTGCCAGCTGTCCCTGCAGTCACAGGTCCAAGATCTTACTGCCTCCTTTCTCTGGCCTCTTCCCCTAGGCTAGCTGGTTTGGAGTAGAATGGCAATTAGTTCTAATTTCTTTTTATTTATTAAACATTTGGGGTTTTGGTTTTAAAGCCAGAATTACAGCTAGCACCTGACATTTTAGCAGAGGGACCACGTCAGACCAAAATGTACTGTTAATGGTTTTTTTAATTAAAATATATTAAAGATTAAGTAAAAGATGGCAACATGTTTCTGCAACTATTAGGAATTGAGACGGGGGTGGTAAACTAAGCAAAGTAAGGTAGTCTTCCGCATGGTCACATAACAGTTTTAAATTTCACATGGCAAATAAGAAAGAGCAAAGGTAGAGAAAGTATAAGATTAATGACAGCTGCCCACTGGGGAGGATGGGCGGGGAGGGGGGGACAGATCTCTCACTGAAAGACCCAGAACTGGGAATGTGGGGGCTGAGGGAAAGAAAACCAAACCACAACCTTAGTCTTAGCATCTTGTTGAAAGACTTTCAAGAAACAATACAAACCAGGGGTAGTAAACACACAGCCCTCTTTCCAGAACAGTCGGTTAGATGCATGAACACTTGAACAAAGGAGTCGGAAGGGAGGGATGAGCCACGAGGACTGAGGGATGTCAGGCCCAGGTTAGAGCAGTGGCCCCTCCCCGCCCCCTAGTGCCTGAGGGGGACGAGGGACCCTGCCTGCTAGCACCACGTGGAAGGGGTCTTCTGATCCAGAACCCCGACTCCTGTGAGCCAGGAGCTGGGGCAGTAGCCTGGAGACTTGGGGCCCAGAGTTCAACAGTCAGGAAGACCCAGGTCCTGAGGCCAGGGCAGCTCAGGAAGGGAGCAGTGAGGAGCGAGTCTGTGCCCTAGAGCAGACGCCCTCTGCACTCGATGGCCCCACAGCAGCAGAGCAGCTCCTTGCCTTCCACGCTGCCCACCTCGTAGTTGTAGTCCCAAGTAAGTTCTGTCCCAGCCCGGATTCTCCTACAGGGGAAGACAAGGGTGGACTGTGGTGGGGACAGCAGATACCGCAGCTGCCTGGGCTTAGTGTGCAGGCGGAGCTGGATCGTGCAGGGAGGAGGGGCCCAGGGACTTCCAGTTGTCTTCGTCCCTTCCCCATGCTGGGCTGCTTTTCCTACCCAACCATCCCCTTTCCTGGCTCCCTCTTACTTGCTGGCAAAGAAGGCCACCCAGGGGAAGCGAAGGTCGTGTGTATCCACGAAGACATTCTGGACAAACAGGTTGGGGCTGCAACTGTGCTGTAGGTTTAAGGACAGGGCCAATAAGAACCAAGAAAACAATCTGGCTTTGTGGCGTCAGTGAGAGTTGGACAACAATAATGCCATCTGATCCCTATCATAGCAGAGAGATTTTGTAAGAAAGCTACCTTTTTAAGATCCTTAGAGATCAAGAATTTATAACAAGGTGAGTTTATATAGTCGTGTTAAAAGCACTAAAAATGTGAGGACCATGGAATAACCCGGTGTCTAGAGGTGAGGGAAAGGGGTCTCACGTTGAGGTAGCGGCCCAGGTTGCCTTCGAGCTTGGCGTCGATGATGTAGCAAGACTCCTCCCCGTCGTAGAACTGGCGTGTGTTCTTACGAACGGGGGCGCTTTCCCCCTTCTCCACGGACGCCATGTTGGTTGACTTAATGGCGATCCCATGGGTCGACTTAAGAGCAAACCCTCGTGTTGATTTCACTGCCACCTGGCGCTTCATTGGACCTGGACAGGAAGGGGAACAGGGTTAGGACCCCTCAACGCATGACTGGATATGCTACCCCCGTTTCGTGTGCCCGCTGCAACTCAGGAATAACCAGCTGAGACTGTCAGTGGCCGTTTGTCGCAGCAGAGTTAGAGCTGCTGGAGAAGGGAGCTGAGGGAAGAGAAGGGGACAGGAAAGGAGAGGACGGGGCCGCGTCGCACAGTATCCCAGCCCAGCTGGGAGCCAGGGAGCCCTCCCAGAGACCTGTCGACTCTTAGGGTCTCAATCTTCCCCCTGCTTCTTTAGCTTCCTTTAAAAATCCTCGACCCCAACTTTGCTATGGCTCCTGCTATCACCCCGAATCCTTCCCGACTACCGGACATGTTCTTCTTGTCCTCAAAGTCGTCGCCTTCAGAGCCGGAAGAGATGGTCTGGATGTCGTCGCTGTCGACCGCTGTGGCTGCAGTCTGACCGGCAGCGGGCTTCCGGCTGGCGCCGCTGTCTCCCTCACTTTCTGTGCTGCTGGACAGCGTCAGCACATCCTGGGGAGGTGGAGGGGTCAGAGGATGGAAGGGGAGCAAACGGAGAGGGCCCCTCTGCGCCCTTGCTTTTAGTCAGGCAGAAGGGGGCTGAGGCTACGGCAAGGGGGAGGGGCAGGCGCTGGACGAAGGAAAACGAGGCAGGAAGCAGAGGCCAAAACAGCAAGAACAGCTTTGGCAGTAATTATGGTGACGGGCCTGACGAGGGGGGAAGACGTTCCTTCACTCGGACCCCGAAGAGAACAGATGTCGGGGGGCGGCCACTCACATCGGCATGGGGCTGAGCTGAGGCCAGCAGGCGTCGGCTCTGGTGCATACTCGTCTTACTCGGTGGGCGCCGAAGGCCTTCCGTCTTCATGGGAGAAGGATTGTAACCGTAGTTCCGAGCGCTCTCCATAACGCTGGCGGGAGGAATGAGAGGGGTCAGGTTACTGGCTGTTTCTCTGGCTGCTTCTGTAGGCTTGAGGTGAGCAGGCGGGTTTGGAAAACGGGTCAAAAGGAGGAACTTACACTGACATCTTGTTTCGGTCATCAGGGTCCTGGAAGAGAGCGCAAGTGAAGGGTTAAGCGTGTTTGTGGTCCTAGGCAGCGAATCTAACACTTAGACTTCATCTCAAATGACCTCCACAGACATTAGCCAGTGCAAGGCGCACTCTGAGGTGTGCGTGCAACTTGACAGCAACGCCCCTCTGCTCATCGGCAGACCCCCTGGGAGAGGTCTTCGACCTTCCCGACAGTAGAGCATAAAAGGTTCACAGAAACACCGTGGGCAGCGGTCCCATGGGGACGAGGGACACGGTTCACTACCTGTGACGTGGTAAGTCTCAACATCAAAATACATTTCAAATTCTTTTTTCTCTACTCTGAAAAGAAATGGAGATAACCTGAAATAGCATTCAATTAAAAAAGCACTTAGAAATCTTTCACTATGGAATGAACCAACCCGGCAGGTTGACTTTAAAATAATTTGGTTCTTTAAACATGATGGGAAGATAATCGTGTTTGCCAGAGAAATAACCATCAAGTAAATAATCGACGCGTGAGGCCTCATGGTGAGACTGCCGCCACGTCTGCCCTCACAGCGCAGTTACACAGAAGCCACTGCTCAGAGCTTTCTGTCATCGCTTACCTCTTTCTTGGCCGGCTTGATGTCTCCCTCATCCTTGAGGCCCAGCCCTGAGGTGGAGGCCTTCTCAGCTTCCCCTCTGCCTCCCGCTGCCCGGCCTTCCCCACCTTCGCTAGTCTTGAAGGATGAATGGCTGTCGGAGTCAGCAAAGCCACCTTCGCTGACACTATTGCAGCTCAACCAGGAGGCCACCTTGTTCTTGGGTGTCTCTTCAGAGGAAGGTGGATTGCAGCCACCCATGGGGATCGCCAGAGGGACGGGAATATGTGGGGGCCCGAGGTCTGGGGGGCGCGAGTCCTTGGACGCCGTCTCAGACACTCCGTTTTCTTTTTGGCCCCGGGTCTGCCGCCGGGTGGCATAGCTGCGCCACACTGAGCTGGTGCTGAAGTCCTCGTCCTTACAGAAGTTATCATCTGAGCTATCGTCGTTGGACTCCTCGGGGTCCTCTGTGCCGCTGTTGCCATCCTCCTGGTCCTTCAGGTCTACCCCACTGCTGTCAGAGGAACAGGGGGCATCACTCTCGTATCCTTCCTTGAAGTTCTCCACGCTCTCGATGTGGTCCAGGTTGGCAAAGTACTCATCGCCCATTTCCAGGCCCTCTTTGTCTGCGAAGTCGTCTGTCAGAATTTTGCCTGGAAAGGAAGAGAATTAAAGGCCTTCCAGGGACATGAGGCTCTTTTGGAAAGAACGGGTCATTCCATCAGCACCCGGCCCACCCGCACAGAGTCAAACGCCCCCAACATGGGGTCTCACTTCTCTGGTGACACCTCCTCCTTCGTGTCTTCAGCGGGAGAGTACGGGGAGCTTACTACAGTCTTAAATCTTGCCCTTCCTGCCTTCCCATTCTTCCTCTTTGTTTAGCGAGAGCGAGCTCTCGGCTGCACTGAAGGCCCTCAGGGTGCAGTGGAGTGATGGGGCAGTGACGTGGGAGAAATGCTACCCCGCACTCTGCTGTCACGTCCCTCTGAAACCTCACATCCACGATTTCGTCTCTTGTCATTCTCATCCTTATGAAGAAGCACTTTTGTCCCTCCCTCGTCCACCCGGACAAGCACATCACTTGTCATGTTCTTAACAGAAGAAAATCCCGGCCTCTTACTCCCAGTTCCCACGTCAAGCATTTTTTCTTACGTTCAAACTTGTCTGATTCGATTCCCCACCACGTCCTAACCCAGGAAAGCAAACCTTTCATCACCAACCTGCATAAATACAGACAAAGGAGCCCTTGGCAATGTCATCCAAGCAGCGGATACCCCAGCCCTTGTTCTGCGTCTTGAACAGCTGTAGCCGAACCTGTAGTCCATGCTGCACCAACCGGTTTGTGCACATGTTTGGGTCACAATTGCAGCGTTTGTTACACTCATAAACTCTGGGAAGTTACAATAAAATCAATCAAGACATGACCACTAGAGCATCCATTAAATCCACAGAACTGTTATGACTCTTAAGGTGCCGTCATCACTTAGGCAGTGACTAAGTGAGCAGATTTACAGAACTGCCTGTGCTCTGATGCATTTGGGAATATAGCCCAAGGAAATAATTTGGAAGGGGGAAAAGTGATTTATAGATATTTATAGCACTACAGTTAGTAACAGTGAATACCAGAATGACTAACCCAGAGAAAAGCTAAACAACTATGACGTGAACACAGATTAAGAGCCACGAAAATAGGTAGATAAGCTAGGCCAACTTGTAGAAACAGACGCTTCAAATAAAGATGTGTAAGAAAAACAGAAGCCAACACAATAGATGCCAAAGGAGTCAAGAGGAGGAACTGGCGCTCAAGTTCACGGGATTCTCTTTGGTGACACTAAGTTTCATTCCTCTACTCTCAACATTTATGAAAAGGCCAAGAGCTGTGCTAGACACTGGGGACACAGCAGTGGAAAAGTTGATAAACTGTCACCTCAGGGAGCTCATCTTCTATAGCTAGTTTAAGAAATTTAATAACTATTTTTAAAGCAAACTACTTAAGTTAGTCAACATTAAAGGAGGCAGTTACAGTGAGAAAACTCATCTTTTCAGGTATCGGTGTTTCTGCTCTACCTGCCGCGCTCAGTGTTAGGACGTTACTTATTTTCCTGGCATGTAGATTAAAGGGAGAAGGTCATGTGGGGAAAGGAGCACATCCCGTGAGCTGGCGGTGGCATTAGCTGTTTCTTTCCGGCAGAGGTGTTAAGAGCGGCTTCCATTTACCGAACGACTGCTCCGTCCGGCGTTACGTCAATGCTTTACTTCCATTCTCTTAGTCTATCCTCATGTTAGGACGTTACTTATTTTCCTGGCATGTAGATTAAAGGGAGAAGGTCATGTGGGGAAAGGAGCACATCCCGTGAGCTGGCGGTGGCATTAGCTGTTTCTTTCCGGCAGAGGTGTTAAGAGCGGCTTCCATTTACCGAACGACTGCTCCGTCCGGCGTTACGTCAATGCTTTACTTCCATTCTCTTAGTCTATCCTCAAAGTAGCCCTAAAAGGTTTTTTTTTTTTTTTTTTTTTTCCAGGCACTTTAAATTCATTATTTTATTCAAACTTATTACAGTTCTACAAGAAAAATCATACTATGCCTATGTTGCAAACATTTTATATTGAGACTCAAAGATATTGTGACTGAAATTCAAAGATGTTCCCACAAATTATACAATTAAATGGCAATTGAGATTTGAACCCAGTCTACCTAACTCCACACTTTGGCTTTTTTTTTTTTTTTTTTTTTTTTTTTAACTTTAAGAAGATCATTAAAGCATAAAGTACACAGAGAAAAATAGAGACATGTCTACAGCTCAATGAATTTTCACGAAACCACCACAGAACCAGCACTGTATCAAGAAACAACTTTGTTCAGTGCCTTAAAACCCCCTTGGGGATGGGGATGGGGATGGGGGGTTGGCGCTCATATTCTCCGTTTACTGATAAAACAGGATCAGTTTGGGAGGGATGAGACCAGAATTTGGACTCAGGTTTAATCACCACTAGATGAAACTTTCTGAGTAGCTACACTGAGATCATTCACTCAAAATTTGTTTGAGTTGTTACTACGTGACAGGCACAGGGTAAGTAGTTGCTGATGATACCACGGGGAGCAAGACAGATGAGGTTCCCCACCTCATGGAGCTTAGATTCTAATGGAAAAGACAGGACAGAAACAAGTCACCAAATAGGAGACAAAAATCGTCACAGATGCTATAAAGGACACAAACAGGGTGCTCAATGAGAGAACTAAGGGAGTGAAGATGACCTAGTTTAAGAGGGACCAGGAGAGTTTTCTCTGAGGAGGTGAGACTCAAGCTGAAGGAGTTCAAGGTTAAAGAAGATAACTGCAGAGAACAGTGGAAGGAGGCCAAGAAGGGGGCACAGTAGGCGCAGAGGGCCTCGAGGTAGGCTGGCAAGCACTGTGTGACCTGGATCCAGAACTGAAGGGTATCTGTGTGGCTGGAACAGTTCTGGAGGGAGAGAGATAAGGAGCAAGATAGTACAGTGTCCTGTGACCCAAGATTAAGAGCTGGAATAAAATGCAAAGTGTAGTAGTGAAGCTCTTAGAAAGTTTTCAGCAGGGAAGCGACATTATCATTTGTGGTTATTTGAAAACGTTTTTATGAAATGTTTCAAACATATAAAAAATGTGCAATGAACACTCATCTACCACCCAGCATTATTAAGTCTATAAATGGTATTAAAAGATTCAAATGTTGCTTATTATGAAAACTAACTACTACAGTGACGCAGCTAAAGCTAGTAACTATCTTTTCCTTTGCTTGTTTTTAATACGTATTCAGCACAGATTCATCTCCTGATTTCCCCAGTGTCTCGATCTGCTCTGAACATACTTGCACACAGAAGGTTTTTTATCAAACTGTTCGTTTTCCCGAAGTATCTCCTGCAGCCGGGTCTGGCCTGCTGCCATCCTGGCTGTTCTCTACCCCAGGCACGCAGCTGTCGGCCTGGAAGCCTCCTCCCCTGCACTGTCATCTGTGGAATTCCCCTCGCCCCTCTTCTGAGTTGGATCCTGTTTCTTGAATCCATATGCCCTCCTCTCTCTTGACTTTCTCCCCTCACTTGAGTAAACATTTTCAGTAATTTTCTGCGAAGAGGAATAATGGAAATTTTCGAGGCGTTTCATACGCCTTTGGCCTCCTTTAACACTCCACTCGTAGTCTGCTCGGGTTTAGAACTCTAAGAAGTAATTTTTCCTAAGCATTCTGAAAGGATTCCTTAATTGCCATCTAGCTTCCAATTTTATTTTGAGAAGGCTGAAGTCATTTTAAATCTTTTTTTTTTTTTTGGTAATCTATTTCTTCTCTCTAGAAGCTTTTCGGATTTTCCTTTTGTCCTCAGTGTTCTGTGGGACCAGTGATCACATTTTATTACCCGGAGTTTTAGTGGGGACCTATTTTCATCCATTGTGCTGGGACCCGATTGGCTCTTTTAATTTGGAAACGCAGACCCTTCTGTTATAGGAAAACATGTGCATTATTTCACTGATGTCCTTGTCCTCTGTTCTGTTCTACTAATTATGCATCTGGAGCACTAGGCTCATCAGCACACACGATCTTATGGAACCGCTTTACTAGGTTACGTCCCAGCCCTTCACTGTCCTCTTTCCCCTGACCTGTCCTCACCCTCACATGCTGGCTGCATCTCTACTGCTCGATCTCTGGGTGCAGAGCCTGGGGCTCACTCTCAGGCCCCCTTCTCTTCTGTCACCAATACTCTCTCTAGGTGAACCCATCCAAACTTTAAATACCACCCTACGCAGCCTTTACACGTCTCGGAAACCTCACTGCCTGGGCGCTTCCACTTGGACTGCCTAACATGCATCTCAAACGTCACATGGCTAGAACAGAAGCGGAATTTCACTCCGACCTCGACTCCTCTGGTCTTCCAGCTCAGTAAAAAGCACCGACATCCACTTAGTTGCTCAAGTATACAATGTAGGAACTGTCCTGGGTTGTTTCTTTCCTCCTCTACTCTACAGTCGATCTGCCTCGTTCTGTGGCTCTACCTCCACTGCACCCCGAATCTTTCTTCCATCCCTATGGACACTTTCGTTTTAGTCCAGCCCCAGCAACCGCCCCCTCTCACTTATATCTCCTAACTGACCTTCCAAATTCTTCTTTTGCTGCTCTACAACCTATTGTCCATACAGAAGCCAACCTAATCTTCAAAAGGCAGATCGTTTGACTCCTTAAAATTCTCCAAGTTTCCTATCGCACCATGAATTTGACTACAGTTTTTATTTGATTTAAAAAGTCCTAAATAATCAGGTCTCTGCCATCTTCTCCTCTCTGAATGCATCTCACTTGCCACAGTAAATCACAATCTATTAGACACTCATACAGCTATAAAATTAAGATTACCTATGACTGCAACAGAAAATTGCTAGACACTGTATTCAGGCATTGTGTCTTTGTCTCAAAGAAAGCCCAAGGAAGAAACGTGCCTGGATTTCATAAGATTTAATTGATGAAATGCCTGTTTCGGTTATTCTATTTCTGGTTCCAATGTTTAGAATACTGGTGGTTCCTGCGAGCAGAGAAAACCAAGAACACGCCCCCCAGTCTGCGGCGCCTCGCCTCGCCCTGACCACTCACCCGGTGGGCAGACACTCTTCTAGCCTCTTGTACTGGTAGCCAGAGTTTGGGTTGATTTGGCCGCCTGGGGTGCAGGCTGTGGCCTGGATAGTTAGCTGATGACAGGCGCACTTGGACCTGTATGAGACAGAAAAGGACAGATAGAGCCATGAGACTTTCTCTAGAGGCAAGAAGTACTAAAAGGATGGCGATAAGGTAGTGAAATTTCATTTTCTTCTCTCAAACACATAAATGAGAAAGGAAAAGACGAAGTAAGATGACAGCGTGAGAAAACAGAGAGACAGAGAATGACACCGAAAGCATGGTGGAGCGAGGCGGAGGAGGAGGAGGAGACTCGGAGCAAGCAGCAAACGCGACACACACACGCAGGGTCGTGCAGGGCCGGGGCAACCCCAGTACCCCTAGCTCATAGCTTTCACGGAAGCATAAAGGCAAGCGCTCCAGCTGAGGGAGGAGGTACAAGGAGGTGAGGGAAAGGGAGCGAAATACAGATACAAGGCAGAGGCGGCGGTGAATGGCAGGGCTGGCAATACCCCTACCAACTCACTTGTCCCGGCATCCATCCTTGCAGTCACAGCCGACCAGAAATTCAGGGCCTGTGTTAATGAAAACACCCTTGCCCGGGATTCGTTCCTTGCTGTAGGCCACCTGGGGTGGGGGTGTTGTGTCAATCTCATTGACACAGGATAGGGGAACATCTTCTTTCCCATAGGTGATGTCCAAAATATAGTAGAAAGGCTTATAGGGCTGAAACTTCCGGTCCACGAGAACATACGGATCCAAACAGAACATCTCCAGGAAGAGGAAGTCACAACCAGTCTCAAAAAGGTAGCGCTCGATCTCCTGCATTGTCCGAAGACAGAGGCCACAGGGTGTCTTATAGATAACGTGAAAGCCCATCTTGCGGTTAACCCGCCGCCGGGCTGTCATCCGCCGGAAGTCATACAGGAGCGGGACTAGCAGAGGGTTCTTGCCCCGGTACTGCTCACTTAGTATGGGTCTGACTCGGGACAGACACGTATAGCTGCAGACGTGAGGTAAGTAGAAAAGCTTCTCCATGGGGGCGCGGTAGGAGGGCTCTGCCGGGGCCCGCTCTAGCATGCCATGGAAGGCTGGGAGGGCTGGGAGCGCTGGGGGAG